GAACATTTGGATTAACAAATCTGCTAGGTCTAAGGCAAAATCTGTTCTTTGGTTGGCTTGTAATCACACATTAGCAACCATAGAAAGAATGAAAAAATTTGGATTTGAGCAAACTGGCTGCTGCTTTTATAGTAATTCAGAGAATATCTAACACTTGCTTTTTGAGTGTGGCACGATGAAAATGATATGGCAGCATGTTCTCCAATTGTTAAACATTAATCACACCCTTCTTGGTTGGAAAGAAGAACTGCATTAGGTCTTGAGAAATAGTAAAGAAAAAGGTTGGAAGGTCAAGATCCTCAAATGCGCCTTTACGGAGACAATATACGAGTCTTGGATTTGTAGAAATCTCTTTTGTTTTGGTAATCATATGAATGCTGGTTTTATAGGGTCTAAGATCATAGAGATAGTTGCTAATAGGTGTTGGGCAAGGACTAAACTTAGAAAGCATATAGGCAATTTGTTGCTCCCATAGTTGTAGTGTTTCTTTGTTGTGTTTGTTCATGGTTGAATTGTTGATCGTCTTGCTTTGTATGATGTTTTTGGGGATTTAATAAAAAAAATTATTCTAAAAAAAAACAACAATAATAATGTTTAGAAAAAGAACACTCATTTTTCAACTTATATCAACCACAAAATCAAATAAAATTTTACATTAACAAAAATTAAAATAAGTAATTAATAAAAAAATAAAGCTAATATAACAACTAGCATTTTCAACCCTTATACATGAGATAACTAAAGCTCGATAAAATAAACATAAATTTTATAAATCTATTGAAAATTTTATTTGATAACAATTATAAATAAACTTTTAATTTTATTTAACGCTAGAAACTTTACATATATTTAGCAACTTAACATTCAATATCTAAATCAAAGATAACTAAAAAAAAATATGAGAATCAAAATAAAACAATATCAATCTTAATTTTCAAAAATGTATTTTCCTTTTATAATAAAATATATCTTTTTAGATGTGATTAATTCATATTAATTTCTCAATTATAATTCGCAATATATTATTGTAATATAAATTTATTAATTATATTTTATCATAAAAAAATTCTTAAGATTTTTAAAATTCTCTAAAAAGTAAATAAAAATAATTTACAACCGCGCATCTATTCATATTTTACAATTTTTTCTCGTGGACGTTCAAGAACACTCAAACTCTTGATTTTAAAAAATATGAATCAATAAATTTTTTATGCAAATTAATAATGATTTTGATACTAATTAAATGCAACAACATAACAATGCAAAGAAATTCAATAAATAACAAACAATAAAGTATATCTAGATGAACTTCCTAAAGAACACAAATAACTTTTTCGATCAAATTTGCTGGAATGATTTATACGATGGAAGGATATTAATCTTAATATTAAAATTTTAATTTATTCATTAATAAGAAGAGATTCACAAACCAATTTAAAGTTTCAAGCTATTTTTATAAAAATTTCTTAAAGATAAAGAAACTTAGAATTTGAAGAGTAGTTTGTGCAAAGCTTTGGCTCTATTTTTGTGTATGATTCTTGATTTCATTCGTGAATGAAATGAGATTAATTTATAGGCTCCAAAATTAGGTTAAGAGATTGTTTCGGAATTATGAGAGTGTGATTAAAATTCTAGAAGTGTTTTTTTGTTGTTTTGTTTAATTAGTGGATAATTATGCAACATATGCATAAGATAATGATGTAATATATGCATGAAATATTGATGTAATATATGAGATATATTTTGTGCATTCTAGAAGTTTTAATTTTTTTTTTATGATTATAAATTTTTGTTTTTAGTTGTTACATGTCAATAATGACTTTGGATATTTAACTATCCAAAAAAATATACATAGTCAACTAAAGTTATTCTATAGGGTTGTAAATGAGTCGATTAGAGTCGAACTCGTCTTACCTCGAATCGACTCGTTACAAAGTCGTTCAACTCAAATCTCAATTTGAGTTTGACACGAACTTTTTTAAAGCTCAAACTCAACTCATTATAAATTTACGAACAATTGGGTTCAACTCGTTAGGTTCATCTCACTTGCTTCACATACTTAAAAGCTATTTTTTAAAAAGAAAATATTGAAATAAAATAAAAGTTATCAAATTAGAATTTAACTTTGTCTCAAAAATCCACTAATTCAAAACTACACAATTTTCAAGAGATATATTTTAAAGTCTAGTTCAAAAACTACTCGATTGGAGTTTAAATTTGTCTTTAAAATCTACAATTTCATCTAAATATTTATGAACCTTACAAATTTGATGATATAGTATTTGAAATTTGATGATATAGTACATCAAATATTAATATAAATTGATACATATCTATCAAAGAAAGATTACGCCAGTTACAACCTTCATTACACATGTTATTTTAGCAAATGTCATAATTTCTCTAACAAAGACGATTTTAAATGCAATTATCAGCATTACTACATAATAAGTACATAAGGGACAATATAGGATTAAGATTTGTAGTAAATCTTTAAACCTACTCTTAAAGATAATATAATTATTTTTCTATATAATTGAGTTGACTCGTTAACTTAACGAGTCGAATTATATATAGTTCAAGTTTATCTAGTTAACAAACTTAACTTAATTTTTTTGTTCATATTCATCTCATTTGGTTCATAAATCTAACTCAACGATTTAATTGTTGAACTGAATTTTGAACTATTTTCGAGTTAGCTCGATTCATTGACAGCTCTAATATTTTATGAGAATTTGAGTCTTTATTTATTTAATGTTGAATAATAAAATGAAACCTTCCTATATTTCTTTTATGTAATTTAACTAAAATTATGTTGAAAGCCATATATGTTGATAAAACAAAAACTATTTGGAGACTTTGATGAATTAATATGCTGACTTTTATAATATGTTATTTGTTGAAGTTATGAGATAGGGAGATGAGATTCGATTTGTTCTAGCGTATTGCAAGTGTTTTTGTAATTTGGGTAAGTGACATGCTTAGTTGTATTCTTTCGCATTTGTTCTATAATTTTTTTGTTTTGTTTTTTAATACTCTTTTTCACCTATCAAGTGCAGTGGAATGTAAGTGTTTTGCTAACAAACCTTGTGCGGTTTTTGTTTTGAGTTAGAGTTTTGTAATATTATCAATGTAAAAGAAAATAGTTATTTTGAATTCTTGTTTTATAATATTGTTTTGAATTTAATATTATGTGTTTGATTTAAATACATAGGTTATCTGAATTCATTTTATTGAAAAATGGATTTAGGAAGAAATGATATTTGAGGAATGCACTTGCAAATATATGAGGATGCAAGGAAGATTAGGCAAAAAAATATTTGTTTCGATTGAATGAGAATATAAGTTACAGATGTTATTAGAGTATATTTATTTACTATTGTTTGTTCTGGAATCTTTTAGTGTATTAACAAAATTGAATTTTAATAATTTATTAATATATTTTATGATAAATTTGATATTCTCCATACTTAAATAAAATATTTAATTTTAAATAAAAAAATGATCTAAAATAATTCAAAAGAATAAAAATTGTAAAGGATTATATTACGGTTTTACATATGTAAACTATTAAAAACTCTGGACTAAAATTTGCTAGGAAAACTGTGGTCTACTCAAATGTCAACGCTTATTAAGTGTTGCTTATTAAAAACCGCTGTCTAATTCTATTTTTAGGTGACACTTTTTTTTAGTGAAAAATGCATACTTTATATGGCCACATATTCAACGTATAAATAACTGTGCTCTAAAGGCTTAGACTACACATTTTACATATCAAGCTATAATTTTTTGTTATTGTCTAAACTCATTTTTTTAGTGCTCGAACACTTTCATATATGGTTTAGATTTATTTTCCAATCCTTAACGTCTCTCTTTGATAATTTTTTAAATAATAGCCTTAATGTTTTATGCATTTTAGAATATTTTATGCCTTAAATATTTTTTGGAGGGAAATCTTATGGATTTCATTAAGTTATATTTCTTATCTTTCTACTTGACGTTTAATATAGGACTAAAGTTAGATCTTATTGATGTACAAAATTGATAAGTTTATAATTCATTTTTTATAAAGTACTTTGCAAACAAGGTGGTGGTGATACATGAAAATAAATATAATAAAATATAAATTTAAGAAAATATAAATGAAACTATTTATAGTTAGCAGAAATACATATAGAGTTTTAAGAGAAAATCCTGAAATATCAATTTGTGATGACATATTTAGAGATAATTTAAAAATTTTAATGAGAATTTTTTTTTAGCTAAGATTGGAGTTACCTCCTTTTAAATTGAATTGTATATAATTATGGTAGATGTCAAATATGCTAACATGAGGAATATGAGAAATTTATGATTTTAAATTTACTCAATACAGGTCATTCGTGCATTTTTTAAAGTGAATATTGTTCATTGACATCTTTTAATTAAATAAAAATACTTTGCCCAATATACGTCCTTTTAGAGTCAAAATATTTCTGAAGAAAAAAAATGCATATGCAAATATATTAGGCAATATATGTTTTTTTTTTATTATAATAGTTTGTGAAATTCGCTTTTTATTTGTATCTTTTTTAAATTAAAAATAAGTTGAAGATATCCAACTATCATTTTTATTAATTGTTTGTTGGATTAGGTTTTAAGTCCTGTCTTTTTTTTATTCAATAATTTAGCTTTATTAAAAACATAAGACTATTTGTACAAATGCATATATAGTATGACTAACAACAAATTTTAAAAATTAATGAATTATTATTGTTTGGGTTATCATACCATGTATAATATTAACCACTGTATTACATCATTGACTGTGAAACTTCAATATCTTTCTATTTATTTATTAATTATGCTTAACAACATTTAACAAGACAAATGACACAACAAAATCTTGACTCACAAAACTGTAAATTTTGCTTAAACTTATTTATCAAAATTTGAATCTTAGTTCTCTTAATTCTTATTTGAAGGGAAAGAAACAGAAATTAGTTAACTTAATTCTATGTTCATTTCTTTTTGTTTGGGTATGTACCCCATGCATTAATTGCACACACTCCATACTTTTTAGGAGTGTTCCTTTTGATATACATATAACCATTCATTCCCCAATATTTGCCATATGAGTTTTTTACTATCCAATAATCTTGACCTTCATAAGAGTCATAACCCACTATTAACATGCAGTGAGTTATATCCGTAGAATCCACCGGGCAACCTCGACCTTGAAGTATTCCCTGGCAATGGATACACATAAATATTTAAATTAAGACATTTACTTTAATGTTACATAAATAGAAAAAAAAAAAAAAAGACTTACGTTGTAATAATGTTGAAATTCTTGTGTGGCTGCATAAATACAGATACTAATTGGTTGTTTGGCAACTGCACACAATAGTGCCTTGTCTGATTTATCAACGTGATAAAATGAATCAATCTTACTAGTTGCACTGTTTTGAATCTGCAATTCGTGAAGAAAGGAGGTGGTGAAATTAATGTAACACTCTAAGAAAGATATACAATAATATTGGTACAAGTTAAACAACCTTTGAGGCTTTGCAAGGCACCACCACTCCTGTATAAGGGTATTTACTCTCCAATGCAAGCCCTTTTTTATTTTTATTTAAAATCCATTGGAACGCTTCGTATACAAATACCCCTTTGCAACCATTACCTATACAATCCACAAGCTCTTGTGCTGAAAGATCGAGAAGCTTCCCTGTCACTATTGCAACTATTCCTTCAATGGCACCAACTGCTGAGAATGACGCGCAACTACCTGATAAAATGAAATCAAATGTGATCAAAATTGAGTTTTCTTCCTTATGTTCGTATAATATGATGGACTCTATCGGTAAATTACCATCACGAATACACAACATACTTACCACAACAAGGGCCTTGATCCTTAACAGAAGTAACAGCGTTTTCTTTCCTCCAATCCCAGGATCGAGGTGGATTACTACATGTTGAGCCACGAGCATCATCGGTGTTCACAATATTCATGGTGTCAGTGTTCATGGTCATGTATTTTTCTTTGAACTCCTTGAAGCTCCAATCAGCCAATTTGGTCAGACCAAGAAGTGCGCTATGAGGTGACTCTCTCTTTGCATTACTCTCTGTGATATACTTCAAATTTGTAACAAAAATGTCAAATTTCTTTGACATCTCTTCTTGATCACGATAGACTCGTCCATGTTCTTTCTTCCATAGTTGAAATAATTTTTTAGCATCATCTTGATTAGGAAGCTTGTCAAGTTTAGGACCCAGTATAGAGGAGTACTTATTGGTTGGGATCTCAAAACGTGAAGATATTTTCAAATCTTCATTAGTTTTTTTCTTTAGAAATGAAAAATATATAAAGAAAAAAGAAATGAAGATGATGAAGAAGCGAAATGAATTTGAGCGGTAAGAAATCCTCATCTTTTCTTAGAGGTATGTTGGAGATAAAGTTTATATGGAAAGATGTATATTCCTTAAAAGTCGTTCCACATATTTATAGAAAATGAGTTGAGAAGTCGTTCTACATATTCTTTGATGAAATGCATAGTGTTATTTTTTACAGGATTGCTATGTTGACACCATTTTCTACACCCTACACCCAATTCACTGTTCACAAATACTTAATCAAATTCTTCAGAATATGGTTAATAGTGTGTATTTTATTGGTTAATGAAGCAGTGAAAGTGGTTAATAAATTATAGGTAAAATAATTGGTTAATGATGTAGATTTTTGTGGTTAATGCAACTCTGAAATTGGTTAATGCGCAATACTATATTTGTGTTATAAAATAAATTTTAAAAATAAATATTTTTTTTTTAAAAATTAATATTTTAAAAAATATATATTATTTTAATAAAAAAAACACTGTTCACCGTATAAATACGGTGAACAGTGCATACGGTGTAAGTATTGGGTGTAAAAATAGGTGTAAGAATATCATTTTTGTATTTTTTACTCCTAAAATACATAGGCTTATTTTATTCTTATATGAAATACAGTCTTTTTTACTCATAAAATAAGTCTTATTTTAGTGTTTGATTGAGGGATCTTGATCTATTCAAACAATTGATTTTGTTGATAAAAAAAAGTCAATGCTTCCATTGCTTTCAAAGAATATTTAAATTGTCACCTTGCAGCAATCAAATAGACAGTACTATCCAAGAAGGATATTGCTAACGTGTGAACTACGCAATTGGTTGACATTTCGAACGTTGTACCAAAGAGAAAGAAGAAAAAAACCACACAATCTTAATTTAGGGTCATGTTTTTTAAATCTAAACAATTGCTTGTACTCTCTGTGTGTTACATCTTTTTTTTCTTTTTTTTTTATTCATTAAAAGAAATATTTGAAACTAGTTATCGTTAGTACTGTGTGATCTTGTGATACTAATATCCAGCTAAAATCATTCCCCTAATTATTATTTTTAGTAAAACAGCAGGTATCACTATTAGGTAAACATCTTTTCACTACCGTTCGTAAAGGATTATCATTATAGTTGATTAATTGTGGTTGTAAGTATATTGTTTTTCACTGCAGACGTGTGACTATAGTAATATATTAGGTAGTGCACTATTTATCACAAAAATTAGGTTTCACATTTGTTGTGATGTATATAGGTCATGGGCTCGAAACCCAGCAACAACAACTTATTTAATGCGCCTATAAAATTAACATTTCACCACGGTTTTAAATTCCAACCGTGGTAGGATGTATACTTGAGTTAAAAAATATGTGGACCGCTTGTTTTTCCCTAACACTAAATAAATATATACAACCATTTAAATTGATTTAGAAGATAATTATTTGAAAAAATAATTTATTCTTGAAAACCAATTACACGATTCACTATGTTTTGAATTGAATGCATATTTGTCATTCATCTCTCACTCTTTAACATATAGAATTTGGTTTAATGCCCCAAATTCTTCAAAACAATGGTTCCTTCTCTTCTAGCTTATTTTGAAAAGCAAGAATTTGTTGACTAATTTGGAGTAATCGACATAATTATCATCATCATTATCTTAAATATGATGATGATTATTATGATGCAATGACGAGGATGAATAAAAATTCTTAACAAATTCGATGCTTTGCAAAATAAACTAGAAGAGAAGAATCATTGTTTTGAATAACTTGGGGCATTGAACCATATTCTATATGTTAAAGAGCGAGAGATGAATTACAAGATGAATGCATACTACTACGAAAAGCATATACAACAACAGTTGAAAAAGGGATAACATCATGCGTGACCTGTCGTTGTTACGTAGGGCGTGGTTGTATATGCGCAACTTACAATCACGGTTTTACGACCGTTGTAGAAAACCTGAAGGCGCGCTTTATATGATCATAATTTCTTGAACTAACCATGGTGGTATATACCTTTAGGTTAATAACATTTTATAACGGTTATTATAAATAATTGTTATTGAAAGTACCCATGGTTTATTATATAATATGTAGATTGCTTGTTTTTCAATAAACCTCATAACAACAAACATCCATTCAAATTGATGAAGAAGTATGTAATATAAATATCAAACTATTATTGAAAGCCAACTTACACAAACCAATGTTTTCCAAATTGCATGCGTCTCATAATTCATTTTCCGCTCTTTAACATGTAAAATGTGGATCAATGGTCTAAGTCCTTCATCACATCAATTCCTTCTATTCTAGTTTAATTTGAATAATTTCAATAAATTGTTGTTATTCAAATTAAATTTTAAGAGAAGATATGAATGTGTTGAAGGAATCAGGTCATTGAACCACATATTATATGTTAAAGAACGAGAGATGAACGATGAGGCGAATGCAATTCGAAAAATATTGATTGATATAAGTTAGTTTTCAAATACAACTTAATTTTCAGATTATAAGTTTCTACGTCAATTTAAATAAAATGTACTTTCAATGAAGGGTTAGTGAAACAAACAATCTACATTCCATACAATAAACTCAACTTCACACAATAACATACAACATCACAAGATATTATGCAATGTTTTGAGAATTTTATAAAGAACAAAACATTGGTAAGTCGCAAGAAGCTTTATTCTTGTGACATAGCAATGTTTTGTTCTTTAAATTCCTAAAACATTAATCAACAACAACAACATAAAACAACATTTATTAACAACACAACAACATACAACAAAATAAGATTTAAGGACAACAATAGCAATATACAACATCAACAACAACAATATACAACAACATAAGATGTTATGTAATGTTTAAAGAACGCACCTCTTTTTAAACTATTCGTGGATCTGGAACAAATTATGATTTTGATCTAGTTTATAAAGCTATGAAGAAGAAGAAGTACAAGGTGATGAAGTTAACACAATAACTTCATACTTCTTGTATTTTTCTTCATAGCTACACAAACCATATGTGTCATAGCCAAAGTATACGCTTTGTTAAGGTGGTGAAGACGAATCTAAGAAATGAGAACATTCACCAAATAAAAAAAATGAGAATCCATTTTTAATAAGAAATGTAAACAAAATCGAAGCATAAGTTTATTGAACGAGCCTGAAATATGATAAAAGAATATCATAACGATTGGTGAATACGAATCTGAAGGTTTAAGAAAGTATAAAGAGTGACATGAGTTTTAGGGTTATTTTATGAGAGAGAAAAGTGAAATATGTTAGGATTTTTATTTGAGAGAAACGGTTGTTATATACAAAAAGATAGATATTTTCGCTTATATAGTAAAAAATATCACATTTCATCATGGTTAGAAAGAAAAACTGAAATATAATATATCACTTTTCATCACGGTTAGAGAGAAAAACCGTGGTTAAATTTCTGAAAGTTTATTTATTTATTTATGAACCTAATTGTTAGAGAGATATTAATTATTACTATAGTTATTTTTCATTACTGTTGTGGTTGTTGTTTTTATTTTTGTTGGCTTATACTTTTTTTGTAAAACAATAATATATAGTGATATAAATGAAAGAGTATATATAACAATAATAAATATTTTTATTAAGAGGACTAAGAGGGCGGAGTGCATAAATTATTTTATTACATATTGTCAATGTCTGAACAATAACCCCTAACAGTAAAGGAATTTTCATAATCTATGACTCTCTCCTCACCACCCTCGTCAAAATCGTAGTAACAAATTTTTCTAGACACCTTTTTCTTCTTCTTCTTCAGCTTCTTCTTTTTCTTTTTCTTGACCATCCTTACCCTAAGTATATCCCTGACAACACTAGATTTAGATGGTTTGACCTCTTTAGTTGACTGTTGATCATGGTGTTGTATTGTGGTGAATTCGGTTGAGATATTTTTGTTAGCATTTTCAGATGGAGAACTCATGTTGCTATATGTAGTTAAGAAGAATAGTTTGAAGAAATAGAAATTTATTATATGAACATGTGCCTTTATAGAAGAGGTTGAAGGTGAAAGATTTGATGATTTAATACTTGAAATGATTATTCTAATGGTTGATATTCTTGAGTGACATTGTGACCATCTTAAAAATTGAAGAAAATTTTCAATCATCATTATAGTTTGGAAGAGCGTTTTTCTCTTTAGGGAAGTGCAAAGTGGTATAGATAATATTACAATGGTTATTTATTAAATTTGTGATTAAATAATCTTCAGTTATTTATTTATTTATGAATTTAAGTGACACACACTTTTTGTAATAGGAAAAAATAAAAATAAATGTAGATGTCAGGATTCGAACCATGTACCACTCTCTATAATCACGATTGTGTCTATCAAACGTGATAAAATTACTTTCAAAAAAATAAGGCGCATCCAGTTTCATATATTACAATGGTGGATGGAATGACCGTGGTAATATAATATTATCGAATGTGTATTTTGTAGTAATGGCAATTCAAAAAACATTGAATGATCTAAGTTGGTTTTCAAATATAACTTAATTTTTAGATTATTGTTTTATACATCAATTAAAATGAATGCATGCTCATTGAGGGGTTAGTGAAACAAAAAATCTACATATGATATAATAAATTCATATTTTAGAATATTAACAATAATACAAACAACAACATTTATCAACAAAAAAACAACAAGGCAAACATTTTAAACAACAACGACATATCAACTCATAAAGTGCTTCACAGGCGTATCTTTTATTGAAAAGATTCAAGGAGAATGAAGATGAAGAAACAATCTACTTGCCTCATAATAGAATCCACAATGAAAGAAGGATGAACCTAAAGTGAAAGCTGTAAACTTGAGTTAAATTTGAATGGATGTCATTTTGGGTCTTTCACCAAATTTTGCAGCTTCCACTTCCGCTTCATCCTCTCCTTGTATTTTTTCTTTATAGTAACACAAACCATTTACATTTTTTTTATTCTCCTTACAAGTCAAAATATATTAGTATGACATTGTAATTATAATAGAAGCATAAAGTTCACTTTC